CCCCGCCCCGCCCCACGACGCTGGTGTTTGCCGTCGTCAAATTAGCGCGGTAGCCAGGGCGGGGAGGACGGAGGGTGAGGAGGGAGGACGTGCTTGCTTTTTCATTATTTTCACCAGGACCAGCACCACTACGTCTACCACCAACACGTCCACCACCACCACCACGTCCACAACCGGCCACAACACGAGCGGAGGCCCGGGGGGGAGGGGAGGGCGGCGGTGCGGGTAGCGTGAATATAATGTGTCACTCTGTGCGCCAGCGCCAGCCCGGTCCGCTTTGTAATCTGATTTGGCGAGGATGTGGCGCGCAGCCCCCGCCCGGTCCCAAAGTGCTAAGCGGCCCGCGATGCCGTCCCCGTTTGCTGGTCCGTAAGTGCGTGCAGCCGGTGCTGCCGCTCGCGCCGGGCCCATGGCCGGGCCCATGGCCGGGCCGCGGGAGGTGGCGCCACCTGGCGGCGCGGAGGCTCGCTGCGCTGGGCCCCGCGGAGATACCCCGCGGCCCAGGTGTCTCTCCCGCGGCCCGCGGCCCAGGGGGGTCCGGCTGGAGCCGCTGGAGCTGGAGCCGGGCCGGCGGCAGCCGCGGGGGAAGATTCCGAAGCAAAATATTATGACGCCTGGACGCGGGCCGGCCAGCTGCGGATGTGGGCAAGAGCGGGCGCGGGGAGGCGGGCCGGAGATCTGCATCGGAGCAGACGACTTCCTTCACCACCGCGCCACGGCCACGCGGCGACTGAGCCGACGAACACAACAAAATAAAAAGAAAAAGTGCGTGCGTGTGTGCGTGTGTGTCGCACCGAAAGAGTAAACCCTGTCCACGGGCGGCCCGGATGCGGATGGTCGGGCAGCCTCTCTGCATCCCCTCCAGCGGTGGTGCAGCCAGCGACCCCGCCCCAACCCTCCGCGGCGCAGACCAGACCGCACGCGCAGCTGGACAAGCAGCGCGGCCTGCTCCGCCTGCTCGAGCTGCAGAGCGATTGGCATCGCCCCAGGGTGACTCACGGGCCGCTGCCCGACCGGCGGAGATCACCAGAGCGCAGGCTGGCCCTCGGGCTGGCCGCGAAACGCTGCTACAGATGACGCCGTAATGACGCCCGTACAGTCAGGCGGTAAAATGACTTTGGACGACGTCAGTGTGGTGGAGTTTACTACTTACAGTACAGAAGTGGCATTCGCAATGACGGTTGTCGTGGATCTGCGGGCCCGGATGACTGTAGGTATGGATCCTCAGCCCAGCCTGGACCGGTGCGCCCCCCGGGCCCCCGGCCCCGGCCGCAACGCCCCGGCACTGTCCTGTGCGCTTCCCACCGCGCCACACCGCCGTGCCGCCGTGCAGGCGAATTAGGGAAACCAAATGCGAACACTAGCAGCGGCGAGGAATGCAGCAAGAATCGAGAGGTCATTGTCGGCGGTCGCCTTGCCCTGCCGCGCCGAGATGGAGCCCCCTCCAGCGCCCCGCCCCGCCTTTAGCCCCGCCGCGCCCCCCTCTCCGGCTCGCGGTCCGCGGTGCGGCTGGGGGCCGCGGGGCGGGGCGGCCGGCGCGCTCTGGACCTAGCCGTCGTGCAGCAGGCCAGTGCCGAGCCAGCAGCCCGCTGGAGTGGTGCGGATGAGTGGCGTGGCGTAGCGCGGCGTGAGACTCGACTCGCGAGCTCTGCGCGCGCGCCGTTGTGCGCAGTGTCCGTGAGTGTTCGTGTGCGTGCGTGCGTGCGTGCGCCGAGTGACAGTGACGTGACAGCGGCACACGACTCGCCACACCACCTGCTGGGATTAACGCCGCGGAGCATCGGCACCGCCTCCGTCACAAGGGTAAGTCACAGTCACAAAATTTTTAAAACTGCAAAAATAAAATTTGAAAAATATTT